TTCAAAGTGGCCAGTTGAATCGAGTTGGTCGAAGATCGATTGCCATACACGGAAATACATTAAAATGTATGCAATCACATACAAATTTGAATATTCATGGATATGAAGTTTTTGACTTAGTAAACAATACATTTATTTTGTTCAAGGAGAATTTTTGAATAAAACTTTAGTTTCTGAATAAAATACACCGAATTTTTTCTGTAGAATTTTTTGTATGGACCGATTGAGTTTAAAGAAAGTCGTGATAGCAGCGAAATTGATTTTGTTGATATTTTATCCTAAAACGCTTCATAAATGGAGAGAGAATTTTCTACTGCTGTCTACAATAATAATCGTATTCAGTTCGTCGTTCATTTGTTCAGGCTAAAGCGGCTGATTCCCGCAAAATATGAATATTGCGTTATGACTGGCACTTTTTTGTTTTCTCATTTGCACCGAATGTAATTTGCCGTGATATTTTCAACTGCATATCCCGTAGAGACAGTGTCTGTTTGAATGAGTTCCTAGGGGCCAACTAAACTCACTGAAACCAATAACTGTTAAACATAATTATTTTCAGCGATTTTCCCCAATTCTGGAACGATATTGAAGCGGAAATCGGAGTTCAACCAGAGGGTTTGAAGCAAGTTAAGTCCGTTTTGACAATTCTTGGGTTTTTGACGAAGAGTTCGATAGCTTCAATCAAAACCGGAAACAAAATTGAAAAACTACAAAACGATTATGCCAAAATTCGATCGAACAAACCAGCAGAAATATTTTCTCGCTTCCCGGAATCGCAGCATATCGATTATTTCACTCCAGGGATGAAAACGATCATTCTCAACATTGCCACTCATTTAAATAGGAAGAATGTTCCAGAACTAACAACCATCAGAAACAAACTTCTGCGACGCGCCAAAAAAGTGTGCGATGAAATTACCGAAGATGACATCATTTTTGACAACGAGCCATCTGGTTTGGTCGTCAAGATATCTTGTCCGCAGTGCTCGAAAGTAAAGCTACTCTCCAAAACGAGCGGAGAAAACTGCTTTTCGTTGTTCAATTTTAAGAATCATTACGACGTAGCTCACAAAGTTGCGACGGGAGGGCAGCAAATGACAAACCCAAACCAAGAGCCCCATCGTCGTCAATCAATGATTGATTTGATTTCTTTGGACGTTCCAATGGGCAATGCTGGCGTTGTTTCGGTAGAGCCGGACGACCAGAGCTATAATATGCTCAAGAAGAGATTCGATGATCTCTCCAATGAAAATCTAATTCTGAAGACTGAATTAGATCAACGAGGTAAATGTCTAGTAAACAATATACTATTTCATTTGACTTGATTAATTGTAATTTTTTTGTAGCTGCAACAATCGAAGGGCTTATGCAAGCAGGCAATCAATACAATTCCGTCGTGGCTGAGAAAAATGCGTACAAAGAAGAATATGAAAGACTCACTCAAAAAAATACCCTTTCTTCGTCTTCAGCCGACATGAATGAATTACACCAACAAGGTAAATGTCCAGTAAACAATACACTATTTCATTTGACTTGATTAATTGTAGTTTTTTTGTAGCTGCGAAAATTGAAGAGCTTAGACAGAAGCTTTTACGAGCAGGAGCTGAATACCGCAATGTTGTGGCTGAAAGAGATGGGTACAAACTCGAATTGGAAAAAATTAACCGTGCTAAAACCATTTCCTCATCTTTGGCCGATTTGCACATTAGTAACATCACATCTGTCACAGAACAATTGCATGAAAAAAGTAGGAGTATTTCAATTTTGATTTAATTCTTCATTTCAATGATTTGATTTTAATTTTAGTTCAGCGTATCAAATGTCTTGAAGAAGAAAATGATGCTTTCCGCCTGAAGATAACTTCCAAAGCCAAATTTTCTGCAAATCTATGTTTCTTCGATGGAAATGCAGATGAAAATGAAGCGATCCGCTTTGAAGGAAATTCTGTGCAATTCAAAGGTATTTGGAATTTTTTGCCAATTTGATTTTCATTATTTACAATTTATTCTTTCAATGTTCCATTCCATAGATTGCCAAGATCGCGCACACACAGAAAAGAATCCCCGGAAATTTTGGGTGTTCGCCGTAAAATTTGACATTTATATATAAATTTCTATATACATTTTACCGGCAACACTTCAATTTTCCGGGCGATGACAAATTTTCGAACATTTTATCAAATACTATATATATTTTACCGCTTGAAATGACAGATGGCGCTAATTTCTGTTGGAATATTTGAAATTATGTCATCGCCCGGAAAATTCAAGTGTTGCCGGTAAAATGTACATAGAAATTTATATATAAATGTCAAATTTTACGGCGAACACCTAAAATTTCCGGGGATTCTTTTCTGTGTGCAGTATGGCTTTACTTTGACAATATTTACCGTGGCGAATCTGCTGAGATGAAATTCAAAAATGCATTACCATATTTGGATGCTTTTCTGGGCGGCAAAAATGCTTGTATTTTTACTCATGGAACCACAGGTAAATATTGCATTGATTATTATTAAAAAATATTGATTCGCCTAATTGTTGTCGAAATTGAATTTTTGATTATTGATTTATAATAAATTTATTTCAAATTAGTTCCGTTTAACAAAAGTCAATATCCACAATAACGGATGAATTGAATTTTTATGACAAAAATGAAATTAATTCGTTTATCTTTCATTTCTGTAAAATGAATTTTTCAGGTAGTGGAAAGTCGTGTACAATGTTCGGCATAAACAACAGTGTAGGACTCCTGGCAAGCTCGATCGACTACATTTTAAAGCAGGGCCACCGCTTGAACATGAATGTCATCGAAGTATTCAAAAAGGAAATCTACGACCTTGGCGAAGGGAAAAAGCGATCGTTCAAGCTGACCGTAAAAGCGAAGAACGTGCAGATAACATCGTTCGGTAGATTTGAGCAAGTTTGCAACAAAGTGAAGGCGATCCGCACGCAAAAATCCACTAATCAAAATGCAACGTCATCACGGTCTCACATCATGTTCCGGTTCAATGTGGAAACAAAACCTGAAATCACATTGGCATTAGTTGATTTGGCAGGATGGGAGAGCCCGTATGGAAAGGACGATATGCAAGAAACCATTTTCATAAACAGCACACTGATGGATTTCAACAAGATTTTAGCCAGTGTAGCTGGAAATAAATGTGTTACGTCCACTACGCTGCTAAGTCAAATGTTCAAGCCGTATTTGACGGGAAACAGCGTGGTGTGCATGTTCTACCACGTGGCAGCCAATGCGTTGAAAAAAGGCCTGGAGAATATCAAAGATGTTGTTCCGTCAGCCAAAGGTGATAAAATGAGCACCGGAACAATAAAAAGAGAACCACTTCGTGATCTGTCCAACTTAAGTCGCTAAATGTTTTCAATAAAGTTAATTCTAACAGAAGTTTTATGAATCAAAAGAAATGGGTGTTTTATTTGAAGAAATCGACGAACCGTGCATTTATTCTTTTACTGTTTTATAGCTTTGGATATTTTCTACATGGATTAAGTATTTCAAATTTAACCACATCTGAATTGAACTTCGAAAATTGAACTTGAAAAAAAAATGTTGGATGCATTGCGATCTCGTAGAAAAGAGAATACAAATTGCAACAATTCAAAACACACACACAAATGTATGGACTTTTGTCTGAAATAATGGGACATTTTTAATGGGACGGTATTAATCAGTCTGAATATATTTCTTTTTACAAAAAACTGTACACAAACCGAACAATGCAAACTAAATATTTTATTGTTGTTGATGTTGCGTCTCTCTTTTTTCACTGCCTCGATTGCAATAGCACATCTTCTCCGATAACTGGAAATGCGATAGAGCATTCAGAATTTCTCTCAGAGCCTTGATTTCAACTATTTGTATTTGATTTTTATGAATGTCGAATTATATTTACAGCCGATTCAAGTTACGGATTAGGGCAAAAACGGTAATCTCCGTAATGATAAAAATTGAAATTATCTGAGAAACAAAAGTAGTAATTTGGAATGTTTTATAAATATTGAAATCAAAACTGAGGCTGATCGTTAAGTTGAAAGCATGAAATAAATTATTTAGAGCCAACTTGACAGTCAAACTAAGGAGTAAGAGTAAAGAAAGCTTTGTTTTCCGCGTCATAATTTATGAAAGCCAATTTTCAACCGTTTGACGAAGCGAAAAAAATCAAGGCGATTCGATTTCTATATTGTAAAAGCGAAAACTGCAATTACATAGTCCAGATTTTTTAATAATTTGTTCATTTACAATATGCTGTTAAGAAAGAGAACCACACTCATACACGCAACATTTTTTTTTCTTTATTTGTCAGATTTTATTGTTATCATTTTGAATCTGTTGACAATGCTGCAAAATCTAACTATGACAGAAATTTCCGTCTGATTCGGTTCGCATTCGTTTGCTGTTTTTTGGTGCGTCCTCGTTGCCATTGAATTCCTCATCCGATTCGAGTGTATGTCTTCGCTTGAGTCCTTCACAAACGTGTTTGAAAAAACCTTTCAGGTAATCTTCAAATCCAATAATGGTGAAGGAATTGTCTGCGCGGTGGATAATTCTAAAGAGAAAACGGATTGTTGCTGCATACTTTTTAAACGCTGGTTTCGGGGCAATGTTTTTATTTTTTGAGAGGCCAGTAAATGAAAATACTCGGAGAAGTTTTGTGTCGAAGCAATGCCCCATCAAAAAATCGGTGACTTTTTTGGCATTGGATTTGCCTGTCGATCCTCCGAATATCACCAATGATCGAATCTTAACAATGGAACATAAAATATGATAAACTTAAAATGAATGGCAAAATAAAAATAACATAAAATTGTTGCATTTACCAATTTTTTTCGGGCTACTTTGTCTTCTTTCAATTTTTTCTCGAAAAAATTCAATTGCTCAAGACTTCGAATAGGGAATATATCATCCGCATCTTCTTCAACATCATTCGCAGCTGAATCGTCAATTTGCAATTTTTTAACGGACTCCTGAAGCTCTTGAACTGCGTTGCGAAGGTTCCCCAATTCATCCATATTTTCAGGTGCAAATCGATGCGATTATAAGTCTGTCGTTGCTCATGTAATATTGAGAACTGACAACAATATTGAAGTGTAAATCAATGCAAAAAAGTCACCGACTATTTGATGGGGCATTGCTTCGACACAAAACTTCTCCGAGTATTTTCATTTACTGGCCTCTCAAAAAATAAAAACATTGCCACGAAACCAGCGTTTAAAAAGTATGCAGCAACAATCCGTTTTCTCTTTAGAATTATCCACCGCGCAGACAATTCTTCCGCTATTACTGCACTCAAAGAGAAACCAAAAGATTTTTCAAAACGCGCCCGTAAAAAAACTATAGCAAAAGTATTAGTATACAGACACTTGAATCAGACGAAGAAGTTATTGGTCCGTGTGATCTTACTGAATGTGGAGCACTGCTGCTCAACAGCTGAAATAAGCTATTTATATCAAACTGCATCTCCCAAAACCACAAGGTCATCGGTTATTCAACTTAAATGTCGGTTTGAAACGCAATAGATAATATCGATAGCATTACAAACCGCAGAGC